TCTCTAGAGCCAGGGACTTTAGGTCATCCAATAGACATTTCATCTGCTACTTTGGGAAAAAGAAAGGTCTCCCAGCATTGTCTTCAACGCTCTCCAGATTGTGGCTTGTCTCCACAATCTCACTTGCTTATGAGCTTCAGCATAAGACTCCACCTGAAGGATTCCAGGCTCATTCCACCAGAGCCATAGCCTCTTCGACTGCCCTTCTGCATGGCATTGATGTGCCTGATATCTGCAGGACTGCCACTTGGTCTAGTGTGTCCACCTTCATCACTCACTACAGGCTAGACCTGAGGGCTAAGAAGGAGACGAGTTTCGAGAGAGTGGTGTTGACGTCTGTCCTCCAGTGACAGCCCACCATCCAGTGAGTAAGCTTGCTAATCACCCTTTTGTGTGCATTCACAGAAGACCACGATGAAGAAAGAGAGGTTACTTACCTGTAACCATGGTTCTTCAAGTGGTCATCTGTGAATTCACACAACCCCACCCTGCCTCCCCTCTATCTGTCACTGGCTCAGGTACGTGTGGTGGATAAATGGAACTGAGGCTGGAGCGGGCGGAGCATGCGCGGTACAGGCAGCCTTAAACTTGTTACTTTTCTCTTAAAGCTCGAGAATGTTCCGAGAGGACCAACGCTGGTGCTGGGTTAACCCTTTTGTGTGAATTCACAGATGACCACTTGAAGAACCATGGTTACAGGTAAGTAACCTCTCTTTTTCTTTTTCCACTGAAATTTTCCTGCACAAGATCCCTCTGTCCCTCACCTGGGCATATCTCATGGGAAATATTGGGGAGTTTCTTGGAAGTTATTTGCTCATTTTTTTCCTGCAAGAATTGCCAAGCTGCAGAACATTATTATTATAATTGAATTTGAATTTGCAAAATAGTAGGTGAAAATGGTGAGAAACAGAGAAGGAAGAATAAGACAGGGTTGTCTTTTTTGTGGGAAGCTTGGACATCTCATTGACACAGGGAAAGTCTTGGCAGGAAGTCGAGGCATAGCAGGGCTCAGAAGAAGCACAAAAAACAAATCATTTTAGTATTCTTTACAGACTTAATCTAGAGGCAACCCCTTCCATACACTCCCATGTTGTCTTTGATTCCTCACCACCACCACCACCTATTGTGCATGGTTCATCAGGAGACTACATTTTTTTAAGGGGGCAGATTTTTAGGTAATCATTACATGATCACAACTGCGAAGACAGTGCAGGTAAAGAGGGCCCAGAAAGGAGTTTTGAGTACCCAGAAGCACCATGTTTAAAGTGAACTTCCTTAGATTCCACGGGTACTCATGTGTACCAGGCATGGAAAAGGGACAGAGGTATGGGTGTGCCACAGTGGACTTGCCCAACCAGTGGCATATGGCTTGGGTGCTGATGCTGACATGGAATTCCCCCAGATGCCTCTGTCATGAGCCTAAGTGCCAGTTGACTCAAACAGTGAGATTTTAGGAACAGCAAATCTGTCATTACGTCCTCAGCTCCAGCAGGGCTCCTCCAGTACTACAAATCCCAGCAATCCAGGCCAGCAGAGCTAGTTAGAAACCACTGGTCTAGGAGAACTTCCAGTGCTCTAGTGGTAATAGGGATGGATACTATACAGTATTGCAAAAGGCAGCACTTACTTCCTGCCCCCACATAGTAAGGGAGCTTGGGACATCTCTGGATTGTGATGGTGAGACAGAGGTGTACCCTAAGTGTTTCCTTCTCATAGCTTGCCCAGAAAGAGTGACTCCTTGAAAGTGGGATTGTTGGAGAGTTCAATCGGATGATAATCCTTCACCTTGTTTCTAACCCAGTTTAAGAGTTACAAAACGTTAAGCCCTTGTTGTGTATCAAAGCTGGGAACTTGCATCTATAATTCTGCTGTATTCATGAACTGATGCACATTGACTGCAGACTAGATTTCATGGTGATCAGTGGGGTTACTGCATGATAAACTGTGTGTCGGATAACAACTTTATTTGGCTATAAAATTTGTGATTTTTACATAGTGATTGCTTTCCCCTAACAGGTGAACGGCGCCTAGATGAGGAAACGTACATGAAGGATTTGCACCAACTAAACCCAAATGCTGAATGGGTTATAAAATGTAAAAATTGCTGAACTCATGAATCAAAGAAACTGCTACTGTAGACTGATTTTTGTAACACTATAATGTTCAGATGCACCAAAATAAAAGGGCAGTGTGTTCATCAGTTTAACACTGCCAAGGGGTATTTTTAGTACTACAGGTGGCTTTGAAGAAGTCTGCTTGTATTTATCCCCATTCAATGTGAGCTACCGTAGCAAGACCAATAGGGCTTCCTTCCTTCCTTCCTTCCTTCC